TATATATATATATATTTCTTCAGAGAGGAAGGGAGAGGGAGAGAGAGATAGAACCACCAATGATGAGAGAACCATTGATCAGCTGCCTCCCGCACGCCCCACACTGGGGGTTGAGGAGCCCGCAACCCAAGCATGTGCCCTGACCGGGAATCGAACCGTGACCTCCTGGTTCATAGGTTGACGCTCAACCACTGAGCCACGCCGGCCGGGCAGAAATGCATCTTGGGAGGCAAAGGGAAAGGACTTGGCCTGTCCAGCTGGTGCCAGCACAGCCGTCCTGAGCGACCCCTGTGCTCCCGCTCTCCGCAGGTGGGTCTTTTTCTATGAGAAGGGCTACCAGACCTCGAGCGGCCTCATCAGCAGCGTGTCTGTGAAACTCAAGGGCCTGGCTGTGACGCAGCTGCCGGGCCTGGGCCCCCAGGTCTGGGACGTGGCTGACTACGTCTTCCCAGCCCAGGTGAGCCGACTCAGGGAGGCACCCTCCACCCGGAGTCCTGGCTCAGAGCTGGGTCGGGCTCTCTCCCCCCTCCCTGTGGGACCAGTCAGCTCCTACCTCGCTTGGGCTTCCGTTTCCCTGCCTGGGACGAAGGGCGCACGCAGCCTGCTAACATCCCCGCACGCTGACTCCGGGGCGTGTGGAGGACTGAGCTGCGTGCCGGGTGGGTTCTGGGAGCCGCCGGGCAGTGCTTGGCTCCTGGGGCTGTCCTCCCAGCCCAGAGCCCTGCCTCTCACTTCCAGGGGGACAGCTCCTTCGTGGTCATGACCAATTTCATCGTGACCCCCCATCAGGCCCAAGGCTACTGTGCAGAGGTGAGGCCGCCGACCATCCCTCCTTCTTCGCCCCGAGGGGAAAGTCACATGGAAGGAGAGGTCCCCTGGGCACTGGAGGTGAAGCTGGGGAGGCTTCCTGTGGGGGCCCGAGGCATAGAGTGACACAGAGTAACAAGCTCCCACAGGCCCCCTTCGACCCTGCTGGGCTGCCCTGCCAGCTGCGTGCCAAGCGGGGTGCTGAGCCTCTGTGCGGCCCAACCACAAGCCCCCACCTTCCCAGCAGCTGGGCCTGAGCCCAGAGCGGGGAAGGAGGCCTTCTGCAAGGGTCACCCCAAAGGCATCTGAGACTCTGCCCCACACCCTCCCTAGGGCCCTGGGGGCGGGAGGGGCTCTTCTCAGGATCCCAGCCAAGGGGCCTGGAGCCAGCAGCTCTCCCCTCCCCCAGCATCCGGAAGGGGGCATCTGCAAGGACGACAGTGGCTGCACTCCAGGGAAGGCGGAAAGGAAGGCCCAAGGTAAGGTCGCCCCCTCCTGTCCCCTCCTCAGCCCCTTTCAGCTCCAGGCCTCCCCCACCAGGATGTCCTTTCTGCCCTCTCCCCTCCTGCCATCCTGACCTTGGCCTGCCCTGTCCCAAACCCAGCCACACTTCCTTCCTCGGGCTTCTGCTTTTGGGGCCCTCATCCATGGGGAGTCCTAGGGATGGAGCCTGGAGGGTCCCCCCTGCCCCCCGCCCCCCAGCTGCACCCAGGACTTTCTCCCTTTCTCCAGGCATCCGCACAGGCAAGTGTGTGGCCTTCAATAACACCGTGAAGACGTGTGAGATCTTTGGCTGGTGCCCCGTGGAAGTAGATGATAGCGTCCCACGGTAACACCTGCTCCTTCCAGGGAGCTGGGAGCAGGATCCCCGAGCCCAGGCAGAGGGTCCCTTAGTAGGACCAGGCCCCCCTTCTTCCAACCCTACCCTCTCTCCATCTGTGCAGCCCAGGCCAAAGAGCCCCTCGGGCCCTGGTCAAAGGCTTGAGAGTCCATCATTACAGCACACCACCCCAAAGCCACAGGAGGGTGCACCCCCACACATACCTTGCCAGGCCCTGGTGGGTGCCCGGGAACTGCTGGGGAGGGGTGGTGAGGAAGTGCGGTCTCCTTTAGCCCTGCCCTTCTCCGAGAGGCCGAGAACTTCACTCTCTTCATCAAGAACAGCATCAGCTTTCCACGCTTCAGGGCCAACAGGTTCGTGGGAGAAGCGGGAAGACAGGCAGGCGGCTCCAGGAGGCTGCGGCTGCTGGCCTCAGCTGCCTGTGTCACCCCTGCTCCTGCTGCTTTCACGCTGGGCCCCTGGGGTGGGCTGTGGAAGGGGCATTTCTGGGGCCCACGAGGGATCTGCAGAACTTTGGGACATGGTGGGCGCCTCCCAGCTGGCACACTGCTGCTGCCAATGCCCTCTGCCCCATAGGAGCAACCTGGTGGAGGAGGTGGACGCCAAATACCTGAAGAAGTGCCTCTTCCACAAGATCTCTCACCCGCTGTGCCCTATCTTCAATCTCGGCTATGTGGCGCGGGAGTCGGGGCAGAGTTTCAGCACCCTGGCCGAGACGGTATTTTGCCAGCGAGTGGGGAGGGCTGGGCCTGGGATCGTCAAGCCAATCAAGGCTTTTCAGGCCCAGGTAATCCGCCTCCAGCCTCCCTGTGTGGGTTGAGGCTGCCGGCCCAGCTGCAAGGCCGTCTCCTGCCCTGAAACCCCAGAGCTTAACACCCGTGTCCTGGCAGGGTGGGGCGATAGGCATCACCATCGACTGGAACTGCGACCTGGACTGGCATTTGTGGCACTGCAAGCCCGTCTACAATTTCCACGGGCTCAATGAAGAGAAGAACCTGTCTCAAGGCTTCAACTTCAGGTGCCTGCCAGGCCCCTCCGGGCACCTTCCCTCGGGGTCCTGTGGCCTCATCTATTCCCAGAACCCTCAGGGCCAAGCAGGTGTCCCCCGGAGGGGAGCACAGGAGCCGGGGGAGCTCCTATTGTCCTGGGGTTGACCACGCAGGGAGCCAGCAGGGAGCAAGACCCTGGAAGCCTGAGCCCCTGCCCTGCTCGTGGTCCCCGGGAGGCCCCCCTGGCCAGGACTGGCTGGGAAATGGCTGACCTCGGGAGCCAGGCTGAGGGTGGAGTACAGCATTCCTGGCACGAGGCCTGGGGTCCTGCCTGAGGCTCCCCGTCTCTATAATGTTGGGGGGGACTATCCTCCGGGATCTCCAAGGGCCCCTGCATCCCTGATGCTCTGGGAACTCCCCACCGAGAATGCTTCTCCATCATCCCCCCTGCAACCTCACTCCTTCCCCAAGGTTTGCCAAGTACTTCGTGGAGAATGGGACCGACCGCCGGCATCTCTTCAAGGTGTTTGGGATTCGCTTCGACATCCTCGTGGACGGCAAGGTGAGTGACAGCGTGAGGGGCGGCCAGAGACACGCTCTCGGGCCCTGCGAGTGCCGTTGGGCACCTGTGGTTACAGACGACTGCAGGTGGGTGGGCTTCCTTCAGCAGTTCTCCTCATCGCACGTGGGCGTGGGCACTGCTGAGGGTGGCCTTCCAGCTGTGACCACCCTCCCGCACTGTCTCCCTGGGTCCAGGAAGGCAGAGCCAAGGTCAAAACCCAGGCTCCTGACCAGCCCCTGAGTCGCATGTAGAGGCAGACCCTGGGCAGCAGGCAGCGGGCCAGCCGACAGTGGAAGGGACACTGCCTGACCCCAGGCCTGGCCTTAGGGCTTCTGAGGAAGACCTTTCCAACGGGGCCCCTGCTGACTGCTAACCCTCCTCCCCTCCCCCCGGACCCTCCACCAGGCTGGGAAGTTTGACATCATCCCCACAATGACTACCATCGGCTCCGGGATTGGCATCTTCGGGGTGGTAAGTGCTGGGGACATGGGGTCACTGTGCTGGGGTCAGTCCCCCTCTTCCACATCTCAGTAGCAGCAACAAGTCTCTCACCCATAACTTGACTGCAATGGTCCATCCTTACTGAGCCCACCCCCCACCCTAGACACACAGTATGTCTGCAGAAACTGAGGCCCGCAGCTGGGGCAGGACCCAGGGGGGATGGGCAGTCTCGGTTCCCCGAGGGGCCTCAGGGCCTCATCCCCCCTCCAGGACCCCGGGTCTGGATAGGGCAGGATTCGGTCAGGGCCTCACAGACAGTAGGGCTTCCCATGCTCTAGCCACCACCTCCCTGCCCCCAGGCCACGGTTCTCTGTGACCTGCTGCTGCTCCACATCCTGCCCAAGAGGCACTACTACAAGCAGAAGAAGTTCAAGTACGCGGAGGACATGGGGCCCGAGGCGGTAAGAGACGTCCCGAGTCAGGCCCCTCAGGGGCCTCGGCCCCTAAGTCTGCGGTGGGGAGTCAGCCGCTCCCCTGAGGCTGACTCGTGTCCCCCCAATGCTCACACAGCGGGAGCGGGACCCCGCGGCCACCAGCTCCACCCTGGGCCTGCAGGAGAACATGAAGACGTCCTGACCTCAGCCCCCGCTCCTGACTGGACGCAGCCTGAGGCTTTGGGCGGGGCCCTGGTGGAGGGGTCCCAGCCAGGGTCGAGGGGTCTCCTCTGGGGCTCGCCTGCCCTCCCAGCCAGAAAGACACCAGTGTGCCAGCAGCTCAGGGCGGACGCCGGGAGAGACCTGCGCAACTCTGAGCTTTGGCTCCAACTCTGCACCCCGCCAAGCGCACCTCACCCAGCCTCAGCCTCCCCGGGCGCGGAGGAGGTGCTGGTGCTGGGCGGCCCTCGCACACTCCTCAGCTGGAGCTTCGTGCTTCTCTCTCTGGGTCCACCCATCCCACTCTCTAGGCCCGTGCTCTCCCATACGACACCCACTAGCCACCGTGACTATTTAAAATTAAATGAATTAAAATGGAATAAAGTAAAAAGCAGTTCCTCAGACCAGCCACAGTATAACCACCAAGGAGACACGGGGCGGTGGCTGCCGTCTGAGACAGTGCGGACATTTCAGCACCACAGAGAGTTCTCTGGGACAGCCCGGTTTCTCGCGGGCTCGGGCTTCCGTGGGGAGCTTATCCACCATGCAGGCCCCTGGCCCACCCCAGACCCCCTGCACTGGGATCTGCGAGGCGAGCAAACTCCCCAGGCCATTTTGAGGACCTTCGTTAAAAGTTTCCTGATCAGGTATCAGACTTAGCCTGGGCCTGCAGCGCCTGGCAGGTGCCGGTAGTGAGCAGGTGTGTGGTGTGCTCACAAGCCCCACAGTGTGTCGTGCACGCGCCTTCATGTGCACACTCACCTGAATGCACACCCCTTCTACCCCCACTGTGTATTTGAACAGCTTGGGCCTTGCAAACACAACCATCTGATCACACCCACACCCCCAAGCACAGACACCTGGTCCATACCATGTCACCTCCGTGGGACACGCTTCTCCCACATGTGTCAGGCCAGGACAGCCCTTCGGCCATGAATCCTTACTCAGCTACCTCTGGCCAGGTGGGAGCCTTGGCCAAACTCGGGGCTCCCTGCCTGTGGCCCAGCCCCAGCCCCCAAGGCCTGCCCGGCTCTGTCTGAACACCAGGTCTGGGGAAAGCGAGGGGTGAGTACAATAAAAGGAATGAGGACAAACCTCTGCCTCTGTACTTTCTTCTCAGCCTCTCTGAAACCCATCCGTGCACTGTGGGTTGAGCTGAGTGACCTTTGAGGTCCTTCTGGATCTGTCGGTGGGTGGCGGTGAGCTGACGCTTTGCCCTGAGACCAGCAGGGTCAGTGCTGGGGGATAGCTCACCTCTATCCACGGTCCACTGTCCTGGCAGAGCCCTGAACATTGGAGCTCTTCCCAACCTCCACACACCCCTCCCATGCAGAGGAGGCCTGGCACTGGGACAAGCAGAGAACCAGTCTCAGGAGGAGCCTCAGGAAAGCGGAGGTGAGGAGGGGGTGGCTGCCCCAAGAGGGAGGCCTGGGGAACCCCAAAGAGGGGAGGAAGGTCATGAGTGAAGACAGTGTGGAAGGATTCTCCAGGGCCCTGCTGTGGGCATGACCACTCGTCTGAACTTAGAACCACGCAGGGTCTCTGGGCACCCCATCACCGTGCTTTGTCTAGACCACAGCCCGATGCAGTAGTCACCAACCACATGTGGCCACTGAGGACTTAAAATGAGGCCAGTGCAACCAAGGAATGGAATGTTTTATTTTATCCACTTGTAATGCATGGAAATCACCACCCATGGCTAGTGGCTACCACATTGGACAGGCTCGCAGGCCCTTGGCCTTCTGCCCTCTTCCCCAGCCAGGAACCATACTTCAGATTTCATAACCCCAGGAACTCCCTCTTCTTTCCTCTCTTCCTTCTCCAGCCCCACCTGCTTCTGCACCTCCTGCCCCCTTCCCTCCCAAATGAGTAGAGGATTCCAACTTTGTATCCAACCCAGTCCAGAGACCTCCCAGCAGAGGCCACCTCTTCTCCCACTCCCGCCCATGTTCCCCTGCAGCTCTGCCTGCCCCTTCACTGCTACCTTTCCAGAAAGACCAGTTCACATCTCCCTTGTCCCGCCCTCAGCAGGTGGCCTCCAGTCCCCGCCCCCACTTCTCCCAGATGCCCTTGCCAAGTTACCAGCAGCATCTTTGTTGCCAAATCCAAGTAGACACTTCAGCTGTATCCTGCTCTGCCTGTCTGCCTCTGATACTGTTGACCAAGTCTCCTTTATCGAAAGATTTCCTTCCAGCAGCTTCCAGGACCCGTCTGCTCCTGATTTTCCAGTTAGCTGGGTGTGCAGGGAAAATACAGGTTTCAACTGCAGCTCTGGCATGGTCACTGTGTGTCCTTGGGCAAGTTGCTTAACACTCCAATCCTCCTCTGTGTGTGTGGCAGGGATAATAATAGCCTCTACTCAGGTCGGGATAAGATAAGATATGAAGGTGCCTAGCACAGAGCCTGGGACACAGTAGTGCTCTATCCTCTCTTTCAATAGTGGAACCACCTAGTTGTCCCCAGATATCTATTCTCTCTATAGTGACACTGCCCTTGGTTCTTAGCAGGACATGTGGCTGCCTAGAATGAAAGTTGCATTTCCCAACCTCCTCTCGCAGCTGGGCCTGGTCATGTGACTAAGTTTCAGCTAGTGAAATATATGTGAAAGTGTCAAGTGACACCTTCTGGGAACTTTCCTGAAAAGCCAGCTGGTGCAAATCCTTTACCCTCTTCTTCTTTGTCCTTGTCTTTATCCCACTACCTGGAGTGTACATGTGATGGCTGGAGCTCTAGCCACCACCCTGAGCCACGAAGACAAGTGTCATACCCAGAGGGTGCTGGAGCAGTGAGTGGAAAGAGCCATATCTGGAAGTCTCTGGAGCACATCTGACATACCAGCCCAGGACTGTCTTCCCTGAGGTCCTTATGTGGGATTTCTGTTACCGAAGTCAAAACTGGTACAGAAGTCTTTCCTCCTTAAGAGTGAATATTCTGGCCCTAGCTGCTTTGGCTCAGTGGATAGAATGTCAGCCTTTGGACGAAAGGGTCCCAGGTTTGATTCCTGTCAAGGGCACATGCCTGGGTTGCGGTCTTGATCCCCAGTAGGTGGCGTGCACGAGGCAGCCGATCAGTGATTCTCATCACTGATCTTTCTATCTCCCTCTCCCTTCCTCTCTTGAACGAATAAAAATATATTTTTTAAAAAGTGAATATTCTGTCCTTGGACCCTGCTTTATTTGCTCTGCATTATCTCACCCTTTCCCATTGCTCTACTTACAACTACGGATCCTTTCCGACAACTTCCAAAACTGTCTGCTGGCCCAGCCCTCTTTCCTGAACTCCAACCCCACACCCCTCCCCCTAATTACCATACCTAATTAGTTATTCATTTGACAAACATCTTTTGAGAGCTGCCTGAATCAGGCACAGTCCCTGCCCTCATGGAGCTCCCAGTCCAGAGCGGGAACAGGCAGATAAACAGATGCTGGTTACAAGGAAGTCCCTAGGAGGAGCTGGTAACCCACACTGGGCACTGGGCGTGAGGAGGTCAGAGGGAAGGGTTTTTGACGGAGGGGTATTGAAATGAGTTAGGCAGATGGTTAGGACTGAGGTCATGGAGGGCTTGACTGGACCTATTCTTGGGATACTGGTGAGCCATGGACAATTCCCAAGCAGGAGCTGACTAGTTGGACTTGTGTTTCTGAGAGAGGTCTCTGGCTGCCAGGTGGAGAAAAGCTACTGGGGTGGGGTGGTAAGACTGGGTAGGGGTGGGAGGCTAATGAGGAGGCTGCTGCAGCAATCCAGGTGCAAAACCATGGTGGCCTGAGCTAAGGGAGGGGCAGAGAGGTGGAGAAAAGTGGCTGGATTCCAGGGTCACTTAAGAGGCAGCATGGGCAGGGCTTGGTGATGGACTGGTTGGGCGGGAAAGGGGGAGCCTACAGTGAGTGACTCCCAAGTTCCTGGCTCCAGATTGAAACAGAAACTCAAGAAGCCAGGATTGGGGGAGATACGGGTCGTGTCTTGGACAAGTGGTAAGGTGAGGCGCCAGAGGATTCACATTTGGGGAACAGAATAACTGAGCCAAGAGTTGGTGAGTTCGCCAGGGAGAGGTGGGGGCAGAGTCCCCGGAAATAGCCGCCCTGAGGGTCAGGCCGTGCTGGAGTCCCCTCCATTCCCTTCTGGCCCAGCTAAGCCAGTCCTGCCGACTGCCCAGAGCCCTTCCCCAACGTGAAACTGCTTCCGTGTCCCTTACGCACCCAGCAGATGGCGAACCCCTTGACTGCCATGCAAGGCCTTTCTCCCCGGCTCTCAACCTCGACCCATTCCCCGTCGCCAACCTCGCCTTTCCCTCCCCTAGTGCGCACCTCGCTTCCACCCCGCGCCCCGGGGAGGGGCGCTCTTGCCCAGGCCAGGCCGAAACTGCAGGGGACAAAGGGTTTTCTGGGGGAAGCACCGGTCCCCTATAGGAAGCCCAGGCCGCGGGATGGAACAACTCGGGGTACTCCGGCCAGACTGCTTCGGGGCGCCGGGACGTCGAAGGCTCGGCCCCGCTGCAGGGGAAAGGCCCCTCGGGAGCCGCCGGCGCGCCGCGGCCCCGCCCCTTCAGGAGCAGGACGGGAATCCCGGGCTCTGATTGGGCGGCGCCGGGGAGGCCGCGCGGTCTGACCAATGAGCGCGGGCCCGGTGCGGCGGTGGGCGGGGTAGCGAACGCTGCCTGGAGCCGCGGCGCCGGCGGTCTGAGCTGGGCGATCCCGGGCCCCGGCGTGGCGGGCAGGGTGGGGCGCGCGCCGCGGGAGCGAGCCTGGCCTCCCCCCGGGCCGCGGAGACTGTCGCCCGGCGCCGAGGTAGGAGTCTGCCGGGAGGGGACCTGGATCGGGGAGCGGGAGGGGGCGAACGCCCGAACGTCTGCTGGGAGCCTGCACGGGAGAGGGGGGTCTGCGAGGCCGAGTCTAGGAGGGCAGCCGGGACCTCTACCCTGCGGGGTCCTCCCCCTTATATCTGCGGGGCCGGTCGGGGCTACGCGGTGTCTCCCAGAACCTGCTTCTGTTGCGCCGGCAGCGGGACCGCATCTACGCGGGCGCCCCGCCATCTGCGTCCTCTCCCCGGCTCAGGTCTGCGGTGCTGCGTGCACACCCGGCGCACCACCCACCGCCGCCCCAGTTCCCGGTGGGAGGCCGGGTCTATGCGGGGTGGGCCCGGACCGGTGCACCCACGTGTGGATCTGCGCGGAGCGCTCCTCCCACACGGCCCTCCCCTGACTCTTCGTTCAAGAGCTGGGGGGCGGGGGTGGGGGGGTAGGGAGGGGGACGGAGGCTGAATGGGGCGCTTGGGGCGTGTGGCCTTAACTGCGCAGTCCTCCCGGGCTAGGGCGGGGTGGAAGGGGATGGAGCAGGGCGGTGCCGGCGGGCGCTGCGTCTTCTGGGGGCACAGAACTGGTGGCTCGGAGGGCGCACACGTGCGCGGGGACCTGTGTGTGGTGTTTGGAGGCGGGTGTGCGTGTGTCACGTGGACACGAGTGTGCCTCTGTGTGTGTGTGTGGGGGGTGCATTACAGGGATAAGTGGTGTGTGAGGGCTGGTTACAGGGACGTTGGCATCCCCCTCTCCCGGAGAGGGCGTGTGTGTCTTGAGGGCACAGGGTTGTGTAGAGAAAGTTATGTCCCAGGTCACAGGACTGCACCTGGATGGGCGCAGAGGGGGTTGTCTATCTGCCGAGTGGGCGGAGGAGTGCAGGAGGAGCACACAGCTTGTGTCCTTGAGGATCCCAGGGAAAATGCACCGGCTTCCCCCACAGCCCGCACTCCTTCGTTCAGCACATACAGACTGTGCACCTACTGTGTGCCAGACCCAGTCCTAGGCCCACAGACTCTGGTGACACCTACCTCCTCCTTGACCTCTCACCACCAATCCCACAGCAGGCAGAGGTATCAGTTTGAACCTCACTGGACTGAGTCATTCCCCTGCTCAGAATCCTCCTCTGGCCTTTGAGGCCCTTCTGGTTTCTGTTGTCCCCCGCTCCCCCTCCTGCAAGCCAGTCCCCGAGTCCCCAGCCAGGAAATGGCTCTCTGTCATGGACAGTGTGAACTTCCACCCTCTCCCCCTCTGAAATCGTTACTCAGTGTTCATGAAAGAGCTTAAACGCCACCTCTTCCAGGAAGCCATCCTGAGGCCAGGCACCGTGAATGACAGGGCTTTCTCACCAGGTGTAACTCGGATGGCGGTCAGGCCCCTCTCACATGGGGAACACCCCCCTGCAGCCACATTGGCCGCCTTGCTGTTCCTCAGACAGAGGGAGCACGGTTCCACTTCACAACCTGTGTAGTTGCTGTTCCTCTGCCTGAAATGCCCTTCCAAGATGTCCACACTGCTTGATCCCTCACTTCAGATTCTGCTCAATTAATGCATCAGAAAGGCCCTTCCTGACCACGCCCCAGCCCCTCACTCGATTTCCCTTGCACGTTGTACTTTTCTCTATAGCAGGTACCACTTGACATATCATCTGTTCATTACAGGCTTTCTTGTTTGCTTCTTCTTGCCCCCAGTAGACATTAAACTGCATGAAAGCAGGGCTTTGATCTTTTTGGTTCACTGCTTTATTTCCCAGCACGTGTAGCAGGTGCTCACTGAGTATTTGTTGCATGAATGAATGGCTCTGGATTTGTATCCAGGAGTCTGTGTCCCTGGCTGCTCCCCAGCCTCTGAGCCCCCAGTCTGAGGGTAGGTCTCCTGCCCTTCTGTCCTCCAGATTCCAAGTTCCTGGTCTGGGAGAACGGTGACCATCTATCTATATAAAAGGCTGATATGCTAAGTGTCCTTCCCTCTGTCCGGGTAATGATGTCACGTAGCAACACCTGGCTTCCTCTCCCTAGCGACGACTAGCCTCCTTGCAGTTCTTCAGCCCAGGAACATGACTTGCTTTATAACCAGCTGCAAACCCTTTACACGGTAACCAAATGTCTG